GGCTTCATGGGTCCTGGATTTGTGGCTTGCTGCCTTTAGTAGTTTCTCTTCCGTGATTCCTTCTCCAGACTCTGCCTTCTCCCTAGATGGTCGGTTTCTAGGGGGCAGGGACTGTCTTGACTCCCTTTTCCCTGGTACTGGGTATAATGCCTGGCACATTCCTCACCCTTGGTAAACCTGACTATGTTTAACGCACACTTGAATTAAATTATTTCTCAATTGTATAAGGTAGAACACATTGAATACTCACTGTTTAGGAATGTGATACAAAGTGAGCAATCTCTCAAAGTATAAATTGTTCTAGATTTTTTTTTTAAAGTTGTTGATTGTGAAAAGTCCATCATTTCCCAGTTGGTTGGCCAAGAAAACTGCAAAATATGTTCATGTTACAACCACTTGGTGACAGTCTTGCCCTGGAAAACAGACGGTGCCTGTTGTGCTTTCTGGGGCCTTGCAGCATTTAATTATGAAGGCCTTTGGGGTGGCACATCACCTGTTAATCGGGACTGTGTATGTGTGTGTGTGCTGTGGGTGGATGAAAGCCAGGGGAGACCGTGCCTCCTGAGCCCTGGGGCCGTGTGCCCACAGGAGGCCCAGAGACTTGCCAGGCGCCTGGCAGCTGGGCAGCCGCAGAGCGGGGTTCACGCTGGCCCAGCACCGTTGCGCCCCGATCTGCTTATGGCCTGTCGGTCCTGTGACTTGAACGTGGGCCCGCCGGCATTCTGTGTGCCCGGTGCTTTGGGGCTCGCTGCCACCCGTGTGGGCGGTGGTCTTCCCATGCCCCGTCCTTCGGTGTCCCCGTTGAGGACGTGATGCGGAGTGCTCCCGTTGGTTGAGTAAATGTGTCTGGACTGCTTGTTCCGTGCCCTGCCCTATGCTGTCTTGTCCTTAGGAAATTGAGGCGAGGCCTGGGGTCTAGGGGTGGGGTGGGCACCATGACTCACTAGTGGGCATCTGCTGTCCATGTGGCAGAGGTGGACAGCCCAGGCCAGGGCGCTGTCCCGTAGGGCTTTCAACGTGGGCACAGCTCAGCCTTGAAGGAAAGCAGTAGTTGGGTGCCAGGTGGGCTTGAGGGGGCAGGGGGAGGCAGGCAGAGCAAAGGAGTATGTGTCGCTGGGCAGCAGGGTCTGCCTCTGGATGTGGGGTCAGGATTATGCTGTGGAAATGCTTTTAAGCTTTAGCACCTGTCATTTGCCCTTGAGTGCTGGTCCTATTCTCCCCAAAGGCTTCAACCTCAGCCATGCTTGGGGTCTGTCCGGATCCCAGCCCCTGACCCCTCTGCCTCAACTCACGCTGCCCACTCCTTCCCTTTGGGCCAGGGGTAAGGCCTTGGGTGTTGCTTCATTGCGGGCCTCTCTTGGCATCTTACCTGCTTTACATGTGGGACTCACTGTCCTCCAGAGTCCTGGCTCAGCCTGTCTGTCTCTGAGCCCCTGGCCCTCCGACCACGCAGGGGCCTTGGGGCTGGGCCCATGTGTGAGGGAGGCGTTGGGAAAGGGGTAGAAGAACTCTGTGTAGTTCTGAGGCTGCTGCTTTCCTCCACAGGGGTTCAGGGAGCCAGGCTCCCGGGGCAAACGGCAGCCGTCGGGGCCCCTGTTGGAAAGGGGCCTGGGCTTCGGCTCAGAACTTGAGGGAGGGGGAGGCAGGAGGGCTGCGGACAGGGCCTGACCAGCCACCCCGTCCCCTCGGCAGTGACATCCTGTACCCCAAGGACTCCTCCAGCCCTCACAGTGGCGTGCCGGCCGAGGTGCTCTGCAGGGGCCGAGACTTCGTGGTGAGTGCCCAGGCCCTCTGGCCTCCCGGCAGAGGCGGGGGGCGGCTCGGGGGCGGATGGGGCTGCACAGTGTCCCGGACCCTCGCCCAGGCAGCGGGCAAAGGCAGGAACGTGGGGCCCGGTGGGGCGGTGGGGAGTAGAGGGCTCTGGACTCTGTCTTGCTTCTCCCTCCCCTCGGACCCTGGAGTCTTCAGTTTCATAAGAACCTTTGAGTTCTTAGCCTGGACGCCCATAGGTAGATTCAGACCATGGAGCTATTTGACCTGAGTGATATTTTTAAAATGATGACTTACTGTCTATTTTTACAAAAAGCAATCAGACTCATGCTAGATTTCTGCCTTGTCATGAATAATTGGACAGTCTGGTATCTCTGGACCTAAACCCCCAAAGAGCAGCCACTCTGAACGGGGCTGACACTCCCCGTTCACCACAGTCCCTGGCACACTCTTCCCTGCACTGTGGCTGTGGGCTTCAGCCACTCCTGAGCTGGCTCATCCCTCCACCCCGTCACCCTGTCCTGCCCCCACCCCACCCCCACGCTTACCCAGAGCTGAAGTCCCAGCCAAGGTATCCCTCCTCGGGGCTTGGCCCCTGAGCTGCCGCGGCTTGCCCTCCCTCCCTTGACCTTGGCAGTGGGCTTTGAGTTTGCAGCAGCTCTCCTTGGAGCTGTCTGTGGTGACTTTGGTAGCTCATGCACAGGTCTGATCACACCAGGCAGCCCTAAGCTGTTTAGGAGAGTGTCTCCATTTTCTCTTTTCTCACCCGGGTGTCCCGGCTCCTTTGGGTCTGAGCATCTGGATGCCGGTGTGGTTTATTTTCATCTCTGGGGATCAGGGTGCAGCGGCATTGACTGCCACGCTCACTCTGTGTACCAGTGTGCTCACACTGGCACACGTGTGTGGCTCAGCCTTCGCTGCCTGTCAGCTCTTCTCTGTTCATGCAGACGCTGTCATATGGGTGGTCTGGGAGAGGGTCTTTTCAGGTCTGAGTTGTTGTCGGTGACATACGGGCCAGGCATGCCCCACCCCAGGAAGCTTCTGTGCTGTGGAGTGGGCCCAGCTGCCCTCCTGGAGGAGGTGGCCCTGGAGCTCCTCCACAAAGGATGAGATGGAGGCTCAGGGTGGAAGTGACTGCCCACAGCCAGGATCCAGACCCAGTCTGCCTGACACCCCGGCCTGGCCTGGGGCCTCCACTCTGTGCCTTCATCCCAGGCTCCCAGGACAGCAGCAGGGGCTTGGGGGACAGTCCCAGGAGTCCTGGAAACACACCTCTTTCTCTCCCTCAGATGTGGAAGTTCACACAGAGCCGGTGGGTGGTAAGGAAGGAGGTGGCAGCGGTGACTAAGGTAGGTGGTGTCCTGCTTGATCTGAGGCCTGGTCCCACCACTGCAGGGATGGGGGCTGAGTGGGGCTGGGCGTGCCTCACCTGGCTTCCTCCCCACAGCTCTGCACAGAAGACGTGAAGGACTTTCTGGAGCACATGGCCGTAGTGAGGATCAACAAGGGCTGGGAGTTCATTCTGCCTTATGACGGGGAGTTCATCAAGAAGCATCCAGACGTGGTGCAGCGGCAGCACATGCTGTGGACAGGCATCCAGGCCAAGTGAGAGCCTGTCAGGCAGACGAGGGGCAGCCAGGCAGAGGACTCTCAGGTCACGCCCGGCCACCCGGGCTCCAGCAGGGAGCACAGCCTGGCTGCGGCTGGGATGACGACTGCCAGTTTGGAGCTGTGCACACCCCTCCTCCACTCAGGTGGACTTTGCTGCGTGATCCCAGAGCCCCCCTGGCAGAGGCCTGGCACAGCCCCTCCTGCTGATCCAACCTGACCGGCCTCTGTTCTGAGGGGTTGGGGAGGAAGGGGAAAGCACTCAGGAGCAAGGCTTGTGTGGCCCAAGGCAGGCTGGCGGGAGGCCGGCTAAGGAAGGGAGGGTGGGCTGCCACTGCCCACCTCCACCATTCAGCTCCCAGCTGCAGGCAGGAACCACCAAGGCTCCACATGTGTGGCATCTTGTGGGGACGTTTCTGTTGGGAGGCAGACAACCGGGGACATGACTTACAGTTAAGAGGGTTTGTTCTTCTTTTCAGGTTAGAAAAAGTTTATAATCTTGTGAAGGAAGCCATGCCAAAGAAGCCGGATGGACAATCAGGTGTGGAGGGCGTTGGCTGAGCGGGCCCTCACCCTGACCCTGGCTCCAGAAGGGGTGCTTTTCTGGGGCTTGTCAGGGCTCTGCCTGGAGGGGGTGTGGGGCTCAGTGGTGGCTGCCCTTCTGTGCCCTCTTCCCCTTCCCCACAGACCTCAGCCGAAGGCTTGTTTAGTGGCAAAGCCTTGCCTCAGGGACTGAGGCTTCTGGACTCCAGGGCGGTGTCTGGGTTTCAGGCCTGGAGACTTCTCACCCTCTTGGGTTGGCAGAGTGGCTCCTGGCAGGGACTCAGCTACTACTACTTCAGACCTGCTGGGTCTCTGAATGTGGAAATCTGACTTTTCCGGTTCTGTGTCTTCCCTCATGGTTGGGGTAGTTAGATTCCTTCTGGGTATGGTGGTGGTGAAAGGCAAGACTGGGCTACTTGCTTCTGCACCAGCTGGCTTGCATTTTTCCTGTGCCCTCCCGCTGGTCAGCAGAGTGTCCCCATTCTAACGGAGGGGCGTGTCCGTGGGGCAGAGGGGCCGTGGGCCCTTCCCTGCATGGTCTACACTGTCCTGAGCAGCCCTCTCTTCTCCCAGGACCTGTGGGGCTGGTCTCTGGGGACCAGAGAGTCCAAGTCGCCAAAAGACAGGCCCAGCAGAACCACGCGCTGCTGGAGCGGGAGCTGCAGCGGAGGAAGGAGCAGCTGCAGGCGTCCGCGGTCCTGCCTGGCGTGCGGATCAAGGAGGAGCCCATGAGCGAGGAGGGGGAGGACGAGGAAGAGCGGGAGGCGGAGGACGAGGAGCCCATGGACACCTCGCCGGGCAGTGGCCTCCACGGCGGGCTGGCCAACGGGCTGCCTGCCGGGCGGGCGGCAGGCGGGGACAGCTTCAATGGGCACCCGCCCTCCGGCTCTGCCGGCAGCCCCGTAGCCCGGGAACTCAGGGCCTTTGTGCAGGCCACCTTTCAGAAACAGTTTGTGCTCACCCTGAGCGAACTCAAGCGCCTCTTCAACCTGCACTTGGCCAGCCTGCCCCCCGGCCACATGCTGTTCAGCGGCATCTCAGACCGCATGCTGCAGGACACGGTGCTGGCCGCCGGCTGCAAGCAGATACTGGTGCCTGTAAGTAGCTCCTGTGGGCTCGGCGGCAGACGAGGCCCCATGGAGGGCTCCTGGGCATGCACGCCTGTCTGGGAGAGAGTGGCTGTGGGAGAGGGGCTGGCAGCCAGAGGGGCCTGAGCCCTGCTGGCTTTGGGAAAACAGCTGTTGGTAGGGTGCGTGGGGCAGGGGCCCTTGGGAGACCGCTGGCCTTGGTGTAGATCTTGGTTCCCATGTGCTTGCTGTGTGCGCCATTGGGCGGTCAGCTTTCCAGCCCTGCACCCTCATCTGAAGTGGGCGAATGGTAATGTGTCACAGGCTTTGGTGAGGGCTGAGTGGGCGCCTATAGGCCATCACCTGTTGCCTGGCACACAGGAGGGCTTTGGCCATGGCAGCTCCCGTCCTGGGGTCTAGCCCCTTCCTCTGTCAGCACCCCACCCATTCCTGCCAGCTTTGCCATTTTTTACGATGATTTCACTCCTGGTGTCATTTGATCTTCTACTAACCGCAGATGAAGAAACTGAGTTTCAAAGAAATAAAATGTACTTACCCAGGAAGTGATAGAGCCGGACATTGAACCTCAGTACAGTGGCTGCAAGTCTTAAATCCTTTCTGCTGCAGCTGAGACGAGCTGAGCTCTCCCCAGATCCCTTGGCTGTGCCTGGGTCCTGGCGGGCCTCCCTGTCCTAGAGCTGGCTGGCCAGCACGAGCTGTGGCTTTTCAATGAGCGTTTCTGGTGCTGAGCCTGCAGGTGCAGGGTGGGCCACCTCCACCCTGGGCTCCTTGTCTTGTCCTGTCATTGGAAGGGGTCCTAGAGGGGAGGAAATACAGGAGCAGAGGGATCCTTGGAGACCATCTCCCTGAGCTGAGGGTACAAGGGTGCCCGGCTGGGTGCACTCTTCATTCTCCTCCCAGGCTCTGTCCAGACCTGTCAGCAAGTCGGGTGAAGTGGGGCTGTGTCTGCCTCTTAACAAGGGGCACTGACATCCGCAGTGTCAGGTCAGAAGCACATGCAGCCTTGGGTAATCTGAGGCAAAGGCCCATCCGTGTGTGAGGAGCAGGAACTAGGACAAGAGGCCCTGACTCCCAAGCTGGCTGGCGTGTCCCAGGGGATCTGGCCCTCGTGGCAAGGGGCCTCCTTGGTGAGGTCTCTAGAGAAGGTAACTGGGGTTTGGGCGCCCTGCACTATTTGGAGCCTCCTTTGTCCACCCAGCAAATGGGTTCAGTTACCTGCAGACTCACCTTTCTCTGAGCCAGGCAAGGCAGGGGCACCTGCCTCATGTTAGCCAGGCCATCTTGGGCTGTTGGAGGGGATAGAGGACAAGGGACATGGAGTAGCTATCCCTAGGACCTGCTCATCCTGCCGCTTCTCAGTAGGGTCAGCATCCCTGCTGAGAAGACCCTGGCCTTCTCTTCCAGCTCTCTCGCTGACTCCCTTCTGTATCTTAGTCATGTCCAAGGTGGAAGATTCCTCAGACCTGTCCAGCCTCATTTTTTTTGTTTTGTTTTTTAACACAAGGGAGCTGAGGCCCAGGGAGAGCGAGTATACTCGGACTCTACTCCTCGTTCTACTGCTTATTAGCTGTGTGACCATGAACTCTGAGTAAACTCTCTGCATGGGACCTCGCTCGTGGAGAGTGGCTCCCTCACGGGTGGCAAATGAGAGTTACCTGGGACTTTATGTGGCAGGAATTGTTACTGTTACTTGGGTTGTGGCGCCAAGGCCGGAACCCACTCTGCCAGGTACCCTTTCCACCGTCCCCTTCTCCAGGCACCAGGAGCCTGGGCTTCCCTCTGCCTGGTCCATCCTCAGACTCTGCTGGGCCACGTGGCACGGGCTGCTCTGGGTGGATCAGGGCCTGTAGCCCATGCTGACCCGGCTTTTGTAGGAGGGATTGAAAGGAATCCCACGATACTCCTAAGGAGTTAGTGGGGTGGGAGTGCTTCTTAGACAGCTCTGAGGGTTGACTGAGGGTGGGAGGACACTGGATGTTAAAGCAGAAGGGAGAGCTAGTGGCAGGCTGATGGGAAAAACAGAAGCTGCCTCGCCGCCTTCCCAAGCATCTCTGACTTCAGGCCAGGCATGCCTGCTCCTCACAGAAGCGGTCTCCGCGCGTGTGGCTGGTGAGGAGGGAGAAGAGAAGGCAGGTTTGCATCCACCCTCTGCTCGTGAGAGGCAGAAGCTAGGACTGGGACTCTGTGCCCAGAACTGGGCGGGCACAGACCGGTAGGCCCAAGGAGAGGGTGGGTTCATGTGTTAAAGCCAAACAGCCAGCTCACGCCCGGGCCTCGGTCAGTTTCCCCCACAGACGGCTGCTTCCCCGGATGAACAGAAGGTGTTCGCCCTCTGGGAGTCTGGAGACATTAGTGACCAGGTGAGGTGACCTTCCTGTCTCCCCAGGAGGGAGCAGGGCGGTGTTCTGCAGGGGGGATACCTTTGGGGAGACCCAAAGTGTAGTCATGTCCATTTCAGATTTTCCAACCACTCCCAGTTTTAAATATTCTGTTTCTGTGTCTCTGAATATTTCAAAACATACTGGATATGCCAGTGGTGTGAGCCAAAAGCAGTGGTTTCCAAATGTCAGGCTGGACTGGCTGCATCAGAAACACCTTTTAAAAAGTATAGGACTGACCCCCAGAGAGAGATTCAGTTCAGTTCTATAGGAATGGAGTAGGGTCCTAGGTATTTGTTTCTACAAAGCCTTCTAGATGACTCTGCTGCCCAGCCAGGCTTGTGAAGCGCTGATGGACCGCATTTCTCAGGTGACTGACGGTGGCGGGAATCAAAAGGATTTCTCATCAGTCTCAGGTGTCAGGTCAGATGTCAGAGAAGTCAGTCCTTTCGCCTCTAGTCAGACCTGGACAAGAATGAACAGAACATGAATTCACCCAGCAGGATCTGAGGTCCAGAAGTTTTCCTTAAATCAAAGATTGAGATTTAATTGCTAGACTTCAATAGATCTGTCCTTTTCCAGGTCTTGTCCTTAGGAACGGGGAGAGAGGGAGTGAGCAAAAGCCCCCACTAAGATCTGTGTCCCCTTTGCCTCTAGAAGGAGACTGACAGGCAGGCTGAGAACACCAGAGGGACGGGGCCTTCTGGGATGGAGAGGCATCTGGAACAGGTCTCTGGGCTTTTGGCCAGAGTGGGTGGCATCTGGGTTTCCTTCTCTTGAACTATTCCAATAATTAAAAGGAAAAAAAGGTAGTAAGTGTGTATTCTTCAAAACAAATAAGACTGAAAGTTGTATGGGAAACTAGTCTCCTGCTTTGCCTGACCTGATTCCCGCTCCTCAGAGGCAATCACTTTTTAATTACAAGGTTATTAAACACACAGACACACATATACACAAATTGTGCATCTGCTATTTGATGTCTCACCTTGTTACTTTCAATGGACTTCTGGTTGCATTGGTTGAGGATTTAGTTTTCAGCTATGTTGGGAGAATGTGGACAGGTGTGGGATGTATTTTTTTAGTTACATCACATATCTGCTAGACTAGAAATGTGTTCATTGTGGAGACAAATATCAGTAGTTTACCATGTCCATTTCTTTTTTATTACTGCTTTTCTTGTTTTCTTGTTTTCACTTGCATGGTTTTCTGAACACGTAGATACCATCAAGAGTACTGTTCTTGAGTCCCAGACATGTCTCCAGTGGGACCAGCTCCATGTCTCTTGCTGGCTTGCAATCTTGTGTCTTCCTTGTTGCTCAATCTTAGCTTCTAAGGGGACCAGAGGGGTTGCTGCATTCTTCCATGTCTTAAAATAGCTTTCTTTTGTCCTCAATTATTATTTATCTGGGACTAGGGTTTTGGAGGGCCAAGCATTTTCCTCTGAATTTAACATACTGTTCCATCGTATTCAAGCTTTCAGAGTTGTTGTCCAGTTCCTTGGCTCTCTTTTTCTCGGTCTTTCCAGTTTGATCCACATCCTTCCCTTAAACCAGACTTAAGGTTTTATTCTTACCCTGCATATAGCACATCAGTGCATCTCCAGATGTGCCCTTGTGTGGGTTATTACTATGCGGGATGGTTGAGTCATCCTCACAAAGTACTGAAATTTCTTTACCTGTTTTTTCTCTATTCTTTTGGAATTCTTAGGTCACCTGTTAGACATAGTGGATCAAATCTTCTCTCTGATTTAACACCTTTTGTTCTTTTGGAGGGATTTTGACAGTCTCCTATTTTTCTGTGGAACATAATACTCTTCATGGCATCCTGTCTATTTATGTGTCAGGACTTTAAGCCACTTGCTCCTCATCCTGTCCTGTCTTCATGCAGTTAAGGTTGTGGCCCCCCTGTCTGCTCAGTCAGTTGTCCTCTTGTTTTTCTATCACACAGAAGTATGTCTAAAAACTGCTTCTCTGCTGATGGCTTCACTGGCATTTTTGTTCTTGTGTGCATATATCTTTATTTCTTCATTGTATTGGGGTCTCTCTCAGGAGATGACAAACTGGCCATACGTGTTTGTCTTTAACAGAAGTCCTAAGCAAGGACTTTGATCACAGACTACAGTATGGAGTTGGGTCCTTTGCTTTAGATTTCTTATTTATTGATGTTTCTGTTTTAGATGATTACTTCCCGTAATAATATGTTTTTGCTACTAAAGCATCGACAGGTTTTGCTTGAAATTTTTTCCAAAAATTACCGGGTGCGCCGGAACATGATCCAGGCTCGGCTGACTCAAGAGTGTGGAGAAGATCTGAGTAAACAGGAGGTGGATAAAGTGCTAAAGGTACATCCATTTTCGGTATAATAATATGCAGAGGCTCTGAGCTTCTGTCCCGACCGTGAGCCTAAGAACCACGATGCCCACAGCTGGCTCCTCCCTGTCTTAGGTGGAGACTGACTGTGGAAAGGGATTTCGTCTGGTACCCTTCCTGTGGCTGTGCTTATAATCAGGCTTCCTCTGCACCCCTCCCCAGCCCTGCTGGGTCTTCAGCAACAGATAATTGGCATTGGTCTGGTGGGTTTATGCAAAAGGACTAAATTGAATAAGATGTAAACTCCATCAGTAGTCTAGCGGGTCATCATCCTCTACAGTGACAGGGCCTAGGTTAGAATCCTTACCCCACTCCTCGGAATTGTGTACCACTTTTTTTCCCTCGTAACCCCATACTAACTCTTGTGCTCCTTGCTTTTAGTAGAACAATTTTTAAATCAAATTTAAAAAGAAATAAAAAATATTTAATTCCTATTAGGCATTGGCTTCCCTGTGGCTCAGATGGTAAAGAATGTGCATGCAGTGCAGGAGACCTGGGTTTGATCCCTGTGTCAGGAAGATCCCCTAGAGTAGGGAATGGCTACCCACTCCAGTACTCCTGCCTGGAGAATTCCATGGACAGAGGAGCCTGGTGGGCTATGGTCCTTGGGGTTACAAAGAGTCAGACACAACTGAGTGACTTAACACGTTTTTTCATAATGTCTTTATGAGTTGACTGTGTGGCACAAATACCGTACTCGCAGAAGCATTTAGTTTTAGCAGATATTTAGCATTCAGTTTTACTGAAAAATGACAGATTCCCTATATTCTAGTATTCTTATATTCCAGGTCCATAAATGCTGATGCAATTTGTGAAGCACCTTTTTTCTAGTTAGCTTATTCATATATCTTTTGTATCTTGTGTTTATAAAGCACATTCGTTTATAGTCCCTCACTCTTAAGACACCCCTGGGGAAAGAAGGGGTCGAGACCCACGCATGGAGGAAGCTGGGCAGTGATGACCACAGCGTCAGGCAGGTCTTGATCTCCTGTTTGTGTTCTCTCCATGAATCATAAATCAGGTTTTGATATTCTGCACAGACTGTGTTCCTTTTCCTGCTAATGTCTGCTCTCAACATGTTTCTTTATCCATAGGACTGCTGTGTAAGCTACGGTGGCATGTGGTACCTTAAAGGGACGGTACAGTCTTGACAACAGTTGCAAATCACTAACCCAGTGAATCCAAGCCCAAGGACGGACGGCAGAGCCAGCAGAGGTGGAAGTAGAGTTTCGGTTGCTTCAGAAGACTCGGAGCAAGAGGAACTGACCACCTCTCGGCCGGGGGCCTCACGCTGTCCAGTGGACAGAGGGGATCATACCCAGCCGGTGGCAGGGTCACCTTGAGGTAGATGGCTCCCAGAAGAGACCAGCTGGGACCTCCTTTGCAGTACAGTTTGAAATTCGTGATGTATTTTGCTTATTATTTGGTTTCATTCTCATAATAAAGAGAGTGTACACTGTCACCGGCAGGATGGTGAAAATCATGGTTTAATATTTTACTTTCAAACTTAATGCCAACAAGATCTGAGTTATGTTTACAAGATGAAGAAAACCTCGAGATTTTTAATACTTAAAATGCCTGGAAGCCAATATTAAGTCTTCAATTATCTATCTGCTAAGACTTCTGCCAACTTCATTAAACAAACCAAACCGAATTGTTTCACTGTTGGTTTCCTGTGGCCATTTTACCTTTTAAAACAACCTACTTTAAGTCGCAGTCTCAACTGTTTACATGAACCATAGCAAAAAATCAGAATCAAATACAATTTATTCTCAATGTTTGCATATGGATGCAAATAAAACGAGGTAAGTATGGAACAATGTATAAGTGAGGTCATCACACTTTGATGTAGAAAATTTCTATTTTGTGTATTTTTAAAATAAATGCTAACACTAACCTGGCATCATGGTGCTGCTGTCTTCAAATGGTTGCAAGAAGGCAGTGCTGTCTGCTCTCAGAGCCTTGTGTGTACATCAGGGGGATGGCAGCCAGCAGCACTGCCCGGTGGAACTGTACAGTCACATATGTAATTGTAAAATTTTCTAGTACACATACTAAAGATAGTACAAAGAAACTTGTTAAATTTTTATGTATTTTACTTAGCCTAATATAGCTAAAATATCAACATGTAATAAAAATATTAAAATTTTTTTGGTACCAAGTTTTCACTATCTGGTATCTTATACACTGTGTAGTCCGTGGGGTCGCAGAGAGACACGACTGAGCGACTTTCACTTTCACTTTTCATCTTATACTTATCACACTCGCAGTTTGGAATAGCTACAATTTTAGTGCTCAGTTGCCACATGTGGCTAGCCCATAATGACCAGTGGATAGTCAGCCCTTGGAGGATTGTGGAAAATTAAGAGTTATGCAGGATTGGGCAAGACAGGAAATTTTGCTAAAATAAGACTTTCGCTGTGGTCTATTGGGCAGTAGAGTCACTACTCTCTGAAGATTTAGGTGATGGTGTATGTGTACGTACTCCTCTCACCCCCCAAGAAAGAGATACAATATTTGGTAATGAGGTTTAACAGGCTGATTGTATACTAAGTTCTTGGTTCTAATTGTTAACATACATGAGTCTGGAAAGAGTAAAAGCCTTCTAAAATTTTCCTGGAGTGTGTCCAGCGATCATGCAGCCCTGCTCAAGGGGAGGCCCCTCGTGCTGCAGCAGACTGAGCAGACAGGACCTGGCGGGGCTCGGAGGAGTCAAAGCCGGAAACGCCAATAAAGAGAAGTGAGTTAAACGCTGAATTCAGATAGCTAGGAAAGGAACAACAGAGAAGGAAATATTTAAGAACAAACTAATGAGGTAAAAATGTAAATTAAGATATACCGATAGCTATCAATGAAGGAAAATGACACGAGCTGTATAGACAATGGGACGGGGGAAGTTTAGGGAAATTAGATGATTTATAACTAAAGCATAAATTCCTAAAAGTGGTTGGAAAGAAATTGCAACAGAGCAATTACCAGAGAAGAAAAGGGCCAGGGATTATCACAGTCGAATTATATAAAATCTTTATGATGTAACAGCATGTGATGGTCCCCCAGATTATCGAAACATTGACTTTAAAGTCTTGACAGAGATAGCATATAAATAAAAAGGATAAGTAGTGGATTCCAGTAACATGTAAAGAATTAAGTCAACCATGCCTATGCAAGGGCTTCCTTACTGGCTCAGTTGGTAAAGGATCTGACTGCAATGCAGGAGACTCTGGTTTGATTCCTGAGTCAGGAAGATCCCTTGGAGAAGAGAGGCTACTCACTCCAGTATTATTGGGCTTTGCTTGTGGCTCAGCTGGTAAAGAATTTGCCCACAATGCAGGAGACCTGGGTTTGATCCCTGGGTTGAGAAGATCACCTGGAGAAGGGAAAGGCTACCTACTCCAGTATTCTGGCCTGGAAAATTCCATGGACTATATCCCAAAGAGTTGGGCACGACAGCGACTTTTAGCTTCATGTCTTTGCAAGGGTGATATCAGGGCATTTCCTCTGAGATAGGAACAAGGTAAGGATGCCTACCATAATTCTGTTTAACATAGTATTGGAAGTAACTAGCTAGAGCAATGAGGCAAGAAAAAAACTGGAAAGGAAGTAATATATTTGCAGATGATATGATCTTATATGTAGAAAACTAAATATTTCACAAAAAAAGTTTGGATGAGTCAAGCAAAGTAGCAGAATACAGGGTCAACACAAAAATCAGTTGCATTTCTATATACTAACAATAAAAAGGAAATAATTCCATTTACCAAGGCATCAAAAAAAAAAAAACTTAGTGATTGACCAAGTGGAAGGTTTGTATAATGAAAACCATAAAACATTGCCAGAAGAAATTAAGACAAATGGAAACACATCTTTTGTTCAGGGATTGGAAGAGTCAATATTACCCAAAGTGACCTACAGATTCAGTGCAATTACTATCAAAATCCCAATGATGTTTTTTGCAGAAATAGAAAAACCCATCCTAAAATTAATAAGGAATCTCAAAGGACACCAACCAAATACTCAAAACAATCCTGAAAAAGAACAAAACACTGGAGGACTCAAAATTGATTTCAAAACTTAACTACCAAAGACGGTGATTATAAAGACAAACAGACCACTGGAACAGAGCCCCGAAAGAAACACTCATATATTGTCAAATAGAGAAGGACAGACTTCGATAAATGGAGCTGGGAAAACAAGATAGTCTTATACTAAACAACAAATTTGGACCCTAAAGTAACATCACAGAAAAAATGGAGCAAGACCTAAAAAAAAAAAACCAAAAAACACCTTTTAGAACTACAGTGTTACTCAGAGAAGGAAATGGCAGCCCATCGCAGTATTCTTGCCTGAAAAATCCCATGGACAGAGGAGCCTGGCAGCTTATAGTCCAAAGGGGCACAAAGAGTTAGACACAACTGTCTCTGCATATGGCGTTACTACATTGGACTTGGCAATCATTTCTTGGTACGTCAGGGAAGGCACAGGTAACAAGAGGAAATAGACAAATTGGACTTGGTGAAAATTTAAAAATTTTATGCATCATAAGACAACAGAATAAAAAGGCAGCCCACAGGAGAAAATACTTGTGAATTGTATCATCTAATGTGGGATTAATATCCAGATTGTATAGAGAACTAAAACTCAAAATAACCCAGTTCAAAAATGGGCAAGGAACTGGAACACATTTATGCAAAGCATCAAGTGCGGGAGTGGTGCAGGACAGGGGTCTCTTCGGTGGTCCCAGCAGGCAGGCCGGAGCCCCGGGTGAGCTTCAATCTGCAGCCTCTGCAGTGGACTGAGAGCAAGCAGATCTGTGTGCTGAGCAGAGCACTGGTTACAGCCCTTGAGTCCCTTAATGAGGTTCATCTTCTTGGTGTTGGGCCCCAGGGCTGGGGTGTCTAGTATGTGGCTTCAACCCTTTGCTGCCCAGGGTGGACCCCTGGCTTGCCCTGTGATATCCCCTCTTCTGGGTCACCCTTTGGGGTTGCAGATTCAGACCATATCACTTTTCCCTTCTTACAAGACTATGTATTTTCTCTCTTTTTTTTTTTACAGCCTGGTTCTGGGAAAGCCACACTGCTAGTCTTCTGGTTATTCTCAGAGAGAACTATATGTAGTTGTAGGTTTGGTGTTTCGAATAGTTATATTTATTTATGGCTCTGCTGGGTCTTTGTTGTTGCATGGGCTTTTCTCTAGTTGCGGTACACAGGCTTCTCTTGTGGAGTACAGGCTCTAGGGTGCGTGGGCTTCAGTAATGACGGCGCTTGGGCTCAGTGGTTGGCACATGGGCTTAGTTGCTCCTTGGCATGTGGGATCTTCCTGGATCAGGGATTGAACCTGTGTCTCCTGCACTGGTAAGCTGACTCTTTACCACTGAGTCAACAGGAAAGCCCATGTCGTTGTAGTTTTGATGAGTTTGGTGGGTGAGGTGAGCCCAGGGTCCTACAACACCATTTTGATCCTGCCTCCCAGTTACTGTATAATGGGTAGAGTTTCAGTTTTTTGGTTTTACAGTGGCTGTGCTGGGTCTTTGTTGCTGCACATGGACTTTCTCTAGTTACCAAGCAGGGTACTCTGGTTGTGGTGCGGGGGCTCCTTGTGGCGGCTTCTCCTGTTGTGGAACACGGGCTCCAGGCACAGGGCTCAATAGCTGCGGCACCCTGGCTCAGCTACCCGAGGCATGTGGAATCTTCCTGGACCAGGGATTGAACCCGTGTCACCTGGAGTGGCAGGCAGATTCTTAACCACCAGACCACCAGGGAAGTCTGAGTTTCAGTTTTAAAGAGTAAAAATTATGGGGATGGATGGTGCTTGATAGTTGCATAACAATGTGAATATATTTAACATGTTTGAACTGTACACTTAAAAGTGGTTCAGATATTAATTATGTGTATTTTTACCACAATAAAAAACCCAGAAAACTTGAAGTTCAGATGGTTCAAACAACTGTCAAGCACAAAAAGAAAGTGTTTAAAGATTAATATAACCACATGAAAATCTTATTTCGCAAAATTCCAGTAACAAGGTAAAAAGATAAATAGCATGTAATATCTAATTGCAAAAGTGAATTTCCTAAATACTAGAGCTCTTTTAATAGGCAAAGGGCAATGCAAAAATGGCTTTGAACAGATTAAAAGCTATTCAACCTTAATAAATGCAACACTAAACAATAAGGAAAACACCATTTTTCCTCTATTAGTTTGGCAAGGGTCATAAAGTTTATTGGTATGGCAACAGGCACATGAAAAGAGGCTCAACACTGGTAATTATTAGAGAAATGCAAATCAGAACTACAATAAGCTACCACCTTCACACTGGTCAGAATGGCCATCATTCAAGAGCCTACAAATAAACGCTGGAGAGGGTGTGGAGAAAAGGGAGCCTTCCTATATTGTTGATGGGAATGTAAATTGGTGCAGTCACTATGGAGGTTCCACAAAAAACTAAAAATAGAGTTGCCATATGATCCAGCAATCCCACTCCTGGGCATGTATCTGGAGAAACCTCTTAATTTGCAAAGATACATGTACCCCTATGTTCACAGCAGCACTATTTATGATAGCCAAGACATAAATGTCTATCAACAGATGAATGGATAAAGATGGGGTGTATATATGTAAACAACAATACTAGTCAGCCATAAAATGAATGAAATAATGCTATTTGCAGCAACCTGGATGAACCTAGATTATCATACTAAATGAACTAAGTCACAAAGAGAAAGACATGATACCACTTACATGTGAAATCTAAAATATGACACAAATGAACTTATCTATGAAACACATTCACAGACACAGACCAGACTTTGTGGTTGCGAAGGAGGTGGGGGGATGGAGGGATGGATTAATTAGGAGTGTGGGTAGCAGATGCAAACTATTATATACAGAATGCATAAACAGCAAGGTCCTACTGTATAGCACAGGGAACTACATTTAATGTCCTGTAATAAACCATAATGGAAAAGAATATAAAAATACGTACGTGTGTAACTGAATCACTTTGCTGTACACCAGAAGCTAGCACAAAACTGTAAATCAACGACACTTCAATAAATAAAAAAATACACAGTTTAAAGATGAACAGTTCAGTAAAATGCAAGAGACGCTCATTTTAAAATATGGGGTGATATAAGCACACTCATGTACTAATCTAAGCACAGAATAGTTTGGAATGATACACCAATAAACTGGTAACTGGACAGGACAAGGGTTGGGAGGTCAGAGGGCCAGGGAAGATGAGACAGCTCACTTTATAAACTCTTTATGCTGTTTGAAGAAATAATGTTTTACCCATTAATCCAGCTTTGCCATTGTGCAAAATTAGATTCAACGCTCATTTTAACATTTGAACACTCTAAAAAAAAAAAAAAATTTTGAACACTCTAAAGTGTCTTTCCTATAACTGAATTATCAAATGTTTTAAGACTCAACTAGCCAAGTGCTATTTATTTAGAACCGAGTCTGACATTTCTAAAACAGTGAAAATTGTATAGAGCATATAAAACTTTTAAATCATACAGTAACTTTAATGAACATCAATATGAGCAGAATTTGTGCTATTACACAATCCCAAAGATTGGGAAAAATGGAAATGGAAAAAAAAATCACTATCAATTCTTCCCAGAGAGATTCTGTTGAAAGAAGAAAAGTAAACAGTTGGTAATAACAGTGAAATGGCTTAAGACTGAAATAACAAGCAATTGATCCATCTGTTCATTTTCATAGGTAATTTTATTTGGTTTTTAGAAAAATATATACAATAAATGGAACCTCAGTTTTCTTAAATAGTTTTAAATTAAAAGTATGCAAGTGAGAGGACAAGTGTATTTCCACAGTCAAGACATCAACACTGTTTAATAAAGTGGCAGATAGGAATTTCTGCAGCAAGTCACAAACATGTACAGGAATGGTAGGAAGTGAGTAGGAGCAGCTTGAGGCCAGTGGGCTAGCCAGCTCAGACAACACAGTGGGGGTGCGGTTTCATCTTGCCCCTTTAGTGTGAATTTAAGAAAAGAATGATTTGCCTATCCTAGCCACTACAGCTTTTGAGTACAAACATTTGAATGTGGGGAGAAGGCCCTCCAGGGCTCTGCTAACAAGCTAACTGGGCTAACCAGAGATTGCCATTTCAATTTGGTATTCAGCTGGACTGGATGTATTAGGATTACCTGTCAGTCACAGTTCCACTGGTAGCAGATGTAACGAACTCAAAGGCTTGGAGTATTTGTTAATGCCATTTGCTTTGGATGAGACCCCTGCTTTCTCCCGAACATTCTTCAGAATTTACGGTATCCAACAGTGTTTGTGAAAGACCCTTTCATGTGGCAGCTGTCTGACTTCTACATAGTTTTGAGAAGTTAAGCAAGAAGGCAGCAGGAGCTGCATTAGCTTTGTTTCAACTCTGCCATTTCCCCATATAATATACACTATATTATATATACTACACACTACAGTTACTCCAGGCCTACTTCTCCAGGGGCACAGATCCTCCCTCCACTGGTTCTGGGGCTTTTCAAGGAACTGCAACCTATTCATCACGCTAGCCAGAGGCCAGTCCGTCATGGGATTTCCTGAGGTGCTTAAACGAACTGGATTATACAACTGCCACCAGGAGCCACCTTCCTTCCTCACTCTATGCATTTGCTAATAAATAAGCAAAGCAACGAGGCCAGCGTCAGGAGCAACATCAGGCTTTGGGGTCGACACACACTTGTGTGAGTGAGAGAGAGAGGTAACAGGAAGCAGGCCAGTGAGTCGTGGAGCTGGCGCTTCACTTAGGAATGAGAGGAGAGAGATCGGTACTTGGTTCTCTGTTCATCTATTTCCTGTTTAGTTTTCTTGATGCAACTAAAGATCTCCTTAAAAAGCGCTTTGTATTCTGGCGGCGTCGAGGTGGTGGGGGAGCTGACGGGCTCTGGGGTGACAGAGGCCGGGCCCCAGCTGAGGGTGCCGGGCTTGGGCTGGGCGTTCAGGGCACCCAGGTCCTTGGCCGGAGCCCGGGAGGTCTGCACAGCCTTGTGGGACAGGCCGTCCTCCTCCTGCTGGCGCTTCTTCAGCAGCTCCTCGTACTTGGCCTTCAGGGCGCTGTACTGAGTGTCCACCTCGTGCAGCAGGGAGATGCCCCTCTGCTTCACCGCCTGGGCCCTGCGGATGCAGGTCTCCTCGTGGCCCCTCACCAGGTCGCTGCCCGCCAGGCTGCTCAGCACCGTCTCGCTGCTGCTGCGCTTGAGGGGCTTCCTGAGCGCTTCGGGCACAGTCAGGAGCATCTCGTCCAGCAGGCTCTGGCCGGGCTCTTTGAAAGGGACGAACAGAGAGTCGGGCACCAGCTTCTCCACCCCGTTCACAAAGGGATGCTCCGCCTGCAACATCTGCCGCATCTCGGCCACCTCGGCCTCCAGCTCCAGCGCGCGGGCGCGGTAGGCGTCCGTGGCCCCCAGCTGCTGCTCCAGCTCACTGTTCTCCTTCAGCACCAGCCCGTACTCCTGCTCCATGGTCACCCGCTTCTGCCGCTCCAGGCTCAGCTGGGCCTGCAGCATTGCCACTGTTTTCTTCAAATGCTCATTTTCTTCCTCATCGGGGCTTTGCTGACTCGGTAAGGAAGTGATCTTCTCAGCAAACACATGATCGTACACGAAGTGCCTGGGGGAAATATTGAAAGACTTACACAGATCGGCTCAGAACGCAAAGAGGGAGGCTGATGATTTTTTTCCAACTACCTATTTTTGAGGAGCTGTGATATGACTGATTTTTGCCTATTCCACCCTAGAGCAGTGGCTGAAATGAATGTGTGAGGCTGACAAATTAGCACATGGAAGAAAACACAACTTTTGTAATTAATTTTTTAAAAAATATTAAAAATGCTACAGAACATCCATTCCCAAAGACCAGTGGTATGACTGGGACTGTTCAAGGAGATCAGAACAGTCAGCAGTGCTCAGTCTTGGCAGCAGATTAGAATCACCTGGGCAGCCCTAAAACATACTGATGCCTGGGTCCCACACCCATAGATTCTGACCTAGCTGGTCTGCCACCTGGACTACAGGGTTTATTTTGTTTAAAGCTCTTCCTATGATTCATAATATGCAGCTAAGATTGAGAACCACTGCTGCAGTGATTTTAAACCAAGAACATATATCAGAATCACCTTAACAGCCTTTTACTCACACCTAGAGATTCTGATTAGGCCTGACCGCTATCTGGTGAACAGTCAAGTTGAGGCCCACCAAATGCATGAGCTGGTCTGTCTCCTGGTCAGAGTCCTGGGCAACTTGTAACTGTACTTCTTTGCTACCTGCCTCTTCCTGAGACTGAAAGCTCCATGAGGGCAGGAACTGTGTCTGTTTTGCTTACCACTCCTTACATCTGGCATAGCATCTGCCTTACCACAGGTGTTCAAGAAACAGTTCTTAAATGAAGATTCAATCTCCAAAGTCTAAATTGTAAAAGGCTTTCCTGCAGGCAAAAAAACCCAAAACCCTTCTGTTTGCCTGGATTTTGTTTTACTGAAATTTCAATTGGACTAAACAACAACAACAAAAACTATCACTTGTATGTTTAAGTGGTTTGTTCAAACCACTGGTGGTCTAATAGCCAAGTGGCATTTCCTCAAAGGGTACGTTTAATCTACTGGGATCCAGAACGTGCCAGTGACACGAGATGTTCTCCTGCTTGCAAATGGAAGGTGGCTCTTACTGGCGGAGGTCATACAGCTCTTTCAAAGACGAGAAGCTGGGGGCCGATTTCTCCTGGTCATGCCTCCCCTGGCTCCTTCTCCTTTGGCTAGATGATTTCAGCTCCTCCACTTGGCCCTGGAGGTGATCAATGTTCATTTGCAGGCATTCAATTGTTTTAGTCAGACTGTGAGGAACAGACAGAAGCCAATTGCAGCTTGTCATATTAAATTAAAGGCATATGCGGTGAGGAGAGCTTAGTTGCCAACCACTCAAACTGGGCTTTTGTAATTGGAAAAGACTTCTATTTAATCTCTATTCTCCATAGAGAATTAAATTAAAGCTTACCCCATACTGACCTGAACCCGCTACAGCCATGTTCTATTCTAGTTTATACTAAATAACTTCCCCTAGGGCTTCTTCAATGGATTCTAAAAAAGTTACCTCAGAATCTTTTGCTGTGAGGCCTTGCTGTCAGCAACCAGCTTTTGATTTGTTTCTTCCAGTTCCCTCGCTGTGACATCTAATTGCTCATAAACTTTTGCATGCTGTTCATTCATCTGCCGCAGAAGCTCCACCTGCTTGGTCAGATACTGGAAGAGATAATTGTGACCAGGTCACACATTAAACACATAAGATACCTGCAGTATTCCAGGCATAGTATAGAATGTATCCTGCAATTCACTTCAATTCTGACACTACCTGGAGTGATAAGGGCTCAGTTCCACAAAACTGCCCCCCCCATTCAGATACCAGAGGTAAGTCCTAGGGACTACGTGTCCTTTCGACCAAAGAGCTATAAATTTGGGAATTCCCATGACCTCCCCTCAGGTTCAATAATCTGCTAAAACAGAGCTTTGGAAAGGGACTTACTTACACTTACAGCTTTATTCTTCTCAGATGCACACCACCCTCCCTGGAAATCCCTTAGTCTCCTTTCGGAGTTTTACTGAAGCTTCATGGCACAGGCATGATTAATTAAATCATGGGCCACTGGTGAACGAACTTGATTCCAGCCCCTGTCCCCTCTGCCGAGGCTGGGGACTGGGCTGAAAGTCCTAACCCTCTAATCATGTGTCGGCTCCTCTGGCGACCAGTCTCATTCTATCATTCAGGAAATTCCAAGGGATTTAGGACTTGGCGACAAAGGTAATATATATTTTTCATTCTAACACAATACCACAAGTTTATTTTATGAAATGAGGAACTTCAAATCTCAATTAAACTACTTTTCTTAAAAGGAAATGAGTACAGGCCATCCTTCATATGTTTAGTTCCCCTAAGGCTCACCAATACATTTTAGGCTGGTCTACTCTTACAAAGCACAAGACACGCATGAAATTAATATTTGACAGAAAATCTAAGCGAGACATGATAATCCCCCAAGAGAAGAAGCTTGGAACACACGGTCCAAGTTTAAGCAAAAATATCTTCTACAGAAATAAGGAAAGCCTAAAAGGGAGGATTCTAGATGATTTTTGCTTTAAAGATATTTGATTTCTTTCTTCTAGGTGAGATATTCTGGACAAAGAATAGGGGAAAAAATATTGATTTAACCAGAAAAAGATACTTTAAAACTTAATATTATTCAAAGATATTTTTAATTCTGTGAGAATGTTGTCACCATAACCCTCCTTGTTTGTGAGAAATCTGCCAGATTATTTATTTTGCTAAGGGTGCTTTCCAACTGGCCTAGGATAAAGGGGAATAATCACAATTTTAATGCCTCACTGTCACATTACCATGATTCCCTACCCCCCCGGCATCTCCCCCAACCCCACTGCCACTGGACTCCACTTGAAGACTATGAAACACTGTATATATTCCAAATGAAACAGTCTTAATATTTCTCGGGGGCACAACCAGAAAGAGAAAAAGGTAAGTCTGAAGCATTACCAATGACCAAATGGTAACAGACCAAAGACACAACTTTAAAAATACTTTCTGGAGGATCCTCAGACACATCTGTTAAGTGTTTGCAAAGCTAACTGACTTCTTCCAAAGAACAGGCTACATTACTTTCAACAGGCTCTTTAAATGGCAGTGTGGCAGAGTTGAAAAAAGTGTATGAGGTCTTTTTCAAATCTAGTTACACAGTTCAGTAGCAACGTGTTGAGAAAACACTTCATTCTCATACCTTTTCATACCCCTGAAACTCTTGGCTGAGAATGCTTTGGAAAATTCTTTGAATTTTAGGAAGACCACACATACTTTATACCATCCTCGGTGAGGGCTGGGCAACACCCTTGTAATTAAGATTTAATATTCTCATCAAAGAGTATGAGTAAAGATTACAGAAAGCCCCATACGAGTTCAGGTGAAGGTTTGCTGTCAAATGAATTTGCTGCACTTGAAAAAAAAAATCTTGTTTTTTTATAGAGCTTTTTGGGTTCAGAATTAAAAATGAATTGTGGATCAGTCAGTACCTACCTTATAGGACTGAAGGGGCTTCCCTCATAGCTCAGTTGGTAAAGAATCTGCCTGCAATGCAGGAGACCCCGGTTGACTCCTGGATAGGGAAGATCCCCTGGAGAAGGGATAGGCTACCCAATTCCAGTATTCTTGGAGTTCCCTTGTGGCTTAGCTGGTAAAGAATCCACTTACAATGTGGGAGACCTGGGTTTGATCCTTGGGTTGGGAAGATCCCCTGGAGAAAGGAAAAGCTACCCACTCCAGTATTCTGGCCTAGAGAATTCCATGGACTATATAGTCCATGGAGTCTCAAAGAGTCAGACACAGCTGAGGGACTTTCACTTTGTAGGACTGAAAGTATTAAATGAGAGGGAATGAGCACAAGGCATAGACCCTGTGAAAGCCTGTTTACTTCACTCCCTCAATCCCGTCTCCTAGAGGTGTGCCCTTAATCCTTCCCTCTGGCTGGCAATGTCCTGGTGGGTTCCTGTCACTGATGGGAATGTGTTCAATCTCTTCAGCACACTGGAGTGGAAAAAAGATTTAGAATACAGAAATGTGTTTAACAGCTGCAGACATTCTGCAGGCTACTTTATGTCAAGTATAAGGTCTCAAGTAGAGCTTCCCCTGTGGCTCAGCAACAAAAGATTTGCCTGCAATGCAGGACTTGGGTTTGATCCCTGGGTTGGGAAGATACCCTGCAGAAGGCAAGAGCAACCCACTCCAGTACTCTTGCCAGGAAAATTCCAAAGAAAGAGGAGCCTGGCAGGTTACAGTCCATGAGGTCTCAAAGAGTTGGACATGACTGAGGAAGGAAACTATGACAAACCTAGATAGCATATTAAAAAGCAGAGACATCACTTTGCCAACAAAGATCTGTATAGTCAATCTATGGTTTTTTCCAGTAGTCCTGTACAGATGTAAGAGTTGGACCATAAAGAAAGCTAAGTGCCAAAGAACTGATGCTTTCAAATCGTGCTGGAAAAGACTCTTGAGAATCCCTTGGACGGCAAGGACATCAAACCAGTCAATCCCAAAGAAAATCAATCCTGACTATTCATTGGAAGGACTGATGCTAAAGCTGAAGCATCATTTGGCCACCTGACGCAAAGAGCAGACTTACTGGACTTATTCCCCATGGCACAGCTATGCCCCAGCAATCTGAAACAGACTTTTTTTTAACCAGTCTCTCATACATGGGCCCCAAGATATTGAACATTTTTAAAGATACAATGTTCAAATTAGATTTGTGGCCAGTATAAAGGAAACAAGTCAGTATGTAAATAAGTACAAAGACACTGTTTAGAAAACTACAGTAGGTCCCCCTTATTTGATATATGAAAACCTGTGGGGGGTGGGAAAACACAATGAAACGTTTAGGAAGAACTTGTGATATTTTGGTCTTAGATGACTTGGCTTTAAGGACAATCTGAAGAATGGCAGAGAGCTTGTTTTCATGCAGTAGGAGTTTAATCTTATTATTATTAAATCAAAGCTAATCAGAAAAGTCCTTCACTTCTCCAAGACTCTGTGATAGGTTACCTAACAAAGGAGTCTGACTAAACTCGTCAGCAACTTCTAAGAAAAATGTTGAGCCCTCTCAGCAAGCAGTGATATGAGACCAGAGAATCAGAATCCATGTAGTCAGACATTGCTTTAAGGTTGGCCTCTAAAACTTCAAATTAGTTTTTAATCAAATTTTTCCAATTCTATAAGGAAATGGGTTAGCTTATTTTCTACCCTTCATTTAAAGGCATGGCTATGCTTCCTAAGTTCTGGTTTTTTCAATTCAGAATCTTTGATCACAGCCTCAAATGAATCTGCCTGGACTGCAGAGATCCTAAAATTCAAGTGCCAAAAAAGAGCTTGAGTACCCAAGTATTTGCCATATTAAACAGGGGAGAGTGATGAGGGGATATTTAAGCAAAACAGTGGCAGAAGGGGAATATGGGGGTAGCAAAATCATAGGCAAAAATGTTACCTTATAGGCAAGAGTATCAAAGTTGAAGTTCCATAGGTTGTCTCCTAAATGTCTTAGAATATGTACAGAATGTCACCTCAAGGAGAATACGCCTTTTAGGAGTGTAAGGTTCAGGCTATATGAAAAAGCTATAAGTAGGGGGCCTTTACAATTGAGGCAAATCTTTGAAAAAGGCCAGAAGGATTACATTAACAGCTATTTGCAACTGTAGAACCCTGACCTGGAATGCTGGAAAAGACAGACACAGCCAAACACTCATAAGGAATGGAATGGAAATTTGGCTTTTATATAGCATTGGGATTATCCTTATATTAAAGATTACAGCCCAACTCCTCTGAATTTAGTATCAAAATGACCTTCTACAACAATGAAGAAATGTTCCCCACTACCTTTGAAAAACCTCTCTCCCCTGATTAAAATATTACATTTCCCTTGGAGGAAATTTAGGAAAAAGTTAAAAAGTATGAAATATGAAAATGAAAACCACTTATAATCTCATTATTAAGAGCTTTGCTGGTTCTAATTTAGATCTACTTTCCAGTAATTGAAAAGGATTTATTTTTTTTTCAGAATTAAGATTCTTTCATTACTAAAATTCTTGAAACACGGACCAACAGTGCAACAATTCATACTGTCCAAAATATACATATATATAAGTGTATATATCGTCTCATTGCCTCAGAACAGCCCTGTGCCAATGTCCTGCGAGCATTCTTATCACCATTACACAGCAGAGCAAACAGGATCTGAGAGGTAATTCATTGCCTAAAATCTAGCCAAAGAATGCTCAAACTACTGCACAATTGCACTCATTTCACATGCTAGCAAAGTAATGCTCAAAATTCTCCAAGCCAGGCTTCAATAGTACATGAACTGTGAACTTCCAGATGTTCAAGCTGGGTTTAGAATATCAAATTGCCAACATCCACTGGATCATCGAAAAAGCAAGAGAGTTCCAGAAAAACATCTACTTCTGCTTTATTGACTATGCCAAAGTCTTTGACTGTGTGGATCACAACAAACTGTGGAAAATTCATCAAGAGATGGGAATACCAGACCACCTGACCTGCCTCTTGAGAAATCCATATGCAGGTCNCATCCTAAAGGAAACTAGTCCTGAATATTCAATAGAAGGACTGATGTTGAAGCTGAAACTCCAATACTTTGGCCACCTGATGCGAAGAACTGACTCATTTGAAAAGACCCTGATGCTGGGAAAGATTGAAGGTGGGAGGAGAAGGGGATGGCAGAGGACGAGATGGTTGGATGGCATCACCAACATGATGGACATGAGTTTGAGCCAGCTTTGGGAGTTGGTGATGGACAGGGAGGCCTGGCGCACTGCAGTCCATGGGGTCGCAGAGTCGGACATGACTGAGTGACTGAACTGAACTAAAAGTCTAGCTATTAGCTATGGAATTGAGGGTTTAAGTCTGAATCTTCTAACACTGAGGTCAGAGCTCCTTCCACTTCCTTTCAAAATCTCCAGAGTTGGAAACATTTAGGAACTATTGGAAGTGTTTTGTAAACTGCTTATCTGTCCTCTTTTAAGATACTGATTTGAACAAGTACTCATTGATTATCTACTATGTTTGAAAGACCACAAATAAACACAGCAACAGCCTTTCAAAGTTGCAGTGGAAAATGGGGAGGTAAGGTGGGGCGGGGAAAGGAGAATAAAACAAATCAAGAAATAAGTATAATATACAGTAGAATATTGATAAATGTAGTAGGGGAAGCACAAAATGCTTTAAAATTTTCAAGGAAGACATGAGCTCTTGAAATAAGGGCCCCTAAGGCCAGACTCCTTTGACTCCTCTGAGGATAAGGCAGGTTTCCAAGAAGAGAAGCAACAAAAACTCAAGGCTGTAGGCTGCTCACACAACTGTCAGAAACTTTAAGAGAATTCAATCGTGTTTGATAGTGTCAGATCTCATTATTCTCCAAAGCTTCTCTCCTCTCTTCAGCCAAGAAAAAAAAACTTGCTCTGGAATCTTGAAAAATTAGATGCTGAGTAGAAGCCACACAGGCTATATAGGCATCTCTGGAGCCAATCATTACTTTCAAAGCTTATTTAATCTTTTTTTTAAAAAAAAAAACACAATGCCTAACAAAATACTGATCAATTTTTATGAAGACTGTTTGAAACCCACGAACAGTTTCTGAAAGCATACTTGTAGTTCTACTGAGAAAATATCCTTTGACAGTTTCCCAGTTGTCTATTTCCATAATGAGTCACATTTTTGGGAATTTTATCCTAGTATTTTTACCAGTTCCTCATCCTTCTTCATCCACTCTTGAGTAGTTTGTTCCAGGACTATTTTCTGGCTGATTTAAAATTTCTCTGGATTGGTAGAGAGGTTCCTTTTTGGTTTTCAATGTATTTTCTAAATTTAAAAAATGATCATGTATTACTTTTCAAATCAGGAAAATTTCCAATGAATATTCTAAAAAGTTGGTTTAAAACTTGTACAAGTGACTCCATTTATGTAAAGTTCAAACACAGGCTAAACTAGTCTAAGGGTATCAGAGTGCTGCTTAGTGGGGGTGGTGACTGCAAGAGCTGATAACATGCTCATTTCTTTTTTATGTAATTTTATCTATTATTTTTTAAATTTTTGGCTGCACTGGGTCTTCGCTGCAGCACAGGCTTTTCTCTAGTTGCAGAGAGCAGCAATGCATGGCCTTCTCACTGGGCTGGCTTCTCTTGCAGCAGAGCGCGAGAAGCTCTAGGTGAGCGGGCCTCAGTAGCTGCAGCATTTGGCCTCTAGAGCGCAGGCTCAACAGCTGTGGCACAGGGCTTGGTTGTTCCACGGTAGGTGGGATCGTCCCAGACCAGGGATTGAACCCGTGTCTCCTGCACTGGCAGGCAGACTCTTTACTGCTGAGCCACCAAGGAAGCCCACTTTCTCATTTCTCGTCTGGGTGCTGGCTGCTGGCTGCAAGGGTATATGTTTATGAAAACTATCTGAACTACAGACTTAGCATTTGTGCTTTTTTCTGTACGTATATTTTTTTAAAGTTTACTTAAAAGAGAAAAAAAGACATCAGGGTTGAATTAAAGGAAGAGTCCTTCTAAAGTTTAGGGGGCTCTCCAAGGGTACAATGATAAGAGACACTATATATATATATATTTGCATGGGTCATCATTTAGTAGAGAATTAGGTTCTTCAGCTGCCTGGTTACTTTTACAAGCGTGTTCAGGCCATCCTTGGTATAGACTATTGGATAGAGATCTTGGAAGTCTGTTGTGATCTGCAAGTCTGCCTGGGCACAGGTATAAATCGAGCAGGCAGTAAGTCTAGTCTGTAGGAGGCCCCCGGCTGGTAAGTGGGTTTACACAGAATTGCCATTTCATCTCCATTTCATCCCACTCCTTACTGACGTTCAGGAAGCGATTTATAAAGAGAAAGAAAGAAAAAAGTCAACCATGATGGCAGAGAAGAAATCTAAGATTTCTAAAGAGAAGAAATCTTTGTTCTTACTCAAAAAATAGCTTTGGATAAAGAGTAAAATGCTGAACACTACAACACTTGGTCTATGAACCACTGGACCCATATGCTCCATTATAGAAACAAGAGATCTATGGAAATGTTTCTGGAAGTACCCCAGGCTAAACTTATTCAATTAACTTTATATTAATACATATAGTTGACTGTATATTTATTTAATCATTAAGGTCTGATCTGGATACTTCATTTCTATTATCCTTTTCAATATCTTACAAGAATCAGGGGTTGGGGAGAGGTGACTGCTGTTACCGTGAGGCCACGGTAACACATCTGTGTGAAAGCTTGAATACAAACATTTTTTAAAGAAAAAAAATATCTTATAGAAGACATTAGATAGTGGAGTGTTATTTATAGATTTGGAGAATCTCAAAGATCTTTGGATTTTTTTCAGAATGTCAGTGATCTCTTTTAATTGTTTAATCATCTTCAATACCACAGAAAACAAAAGTAGAAACACAGGTAACTTAGATTATAAAGCAATTGTGTTTGTAATCCTTATAGTAACAAATAGGCATCATTCCCTAATTATATAAATATTTTGACTTTTTAAATCTGTTTTTGGCAGATGTGCTAAAATAAGTATTCACTACAGTATTCAGTTATGGTGATTTGTAGGTGCTTTCAGGGAAAACACCAGTACAAGGTGTTAAGACTATGTTTCTACCCAAATTCAAATAAATGTACCCCACAGTATATGATAATCTTCAGGTATATGCCCTGGGACCACTCTATGAAATCTTCCAATCAATTGAAAAACAAAGCCCATGAAACAAAACAGGAATGAACTTCTTGACCATGTATGACACTTGGATATCACAGTTTTAAAATGCCTGGTTTTCCTGCATTTTTAGGTTTTTGCACAATTCTATGGGTAATAAATTCAACTCTGGTATGGAAAGTTCTATGCTCTTCTGATATAGAAAATACTTAAAATGATAGCTGATAACTTCAATATCATTACAAGGTACACCTTTCTACAATTATAAAAGCATATTTTGTCACATTATTGGCTAAATTCATAAATCCTGAGAAGGGGGAGGGGAATCTACTGTATGCATCTTAACTATGATCACTAAATAAAAGTAAGAATACTGACATGATAAATTTGTCTTAGTTTTAATGACAGGTTTATTCATATTCAAAAACTGAAATCTGTAATTTCGATTGAAGTCAAGGACTATGTCATTCTACTTTGCATTTCTAGCACCTGGTTCAATATATAATCAGAGCCTAGTAAGTTCTGACCATGATGAATGGTTTCTGTGTTCTAAGGTCTTCTACCTTTTCCTGCACATAGACTTATAATAAGAGTCCTGGTTCTACTGTATCAATTTGAGGGGAAGGAGTTACAATTTAAGTGCAAGATTTTTTTAAGGGGGGAGCGTAGTTTGGGCCATGAAATGTTCTGATGGACAATTGTTTGGTTAATATCCATAACTATCATCTTTACAGTCACCTGGCCTACACATAGTTGGGCTACATTAACGGGACCATTTACAAGATAGCACTTTCATTTTAAAGCCTTAAGCTAGCATCTTTTATTATGAAATCAGGTACTACCAATTTTAAAAATTTTCATCAAATTTAGGATGGTGTTTGGTTAAGGGGAGGGGATGCAGCCAGGCAGGGTTTACAGAGGGAGTCTCAACAGTTTTCTTTCTCAGTCTGGTTGGTGGGTACAAGGGTGCCCACTGTATTTTTCTCTTGTACCTCTTTGCATATCTTAAATATTACATAATTCATTTTTAAAAGAAAAAAAAAAACTAAATGTAGTATTCACAGCTTCACTTTGCTTCACATATTGGTAAATACTGGACCATTTACTTCTAAGTATACTTCACCAAGGGGGTAGAGAGAAATGTCTTTCATCACAGCAGATTTATGTGCTGAGAAAGCTTAAAGACAGTAAAAACCAACCTCTATACACTTTCCATGGTTCTTTATACCAAAAAAGTCTACATTATAAATTAAACATTACTTTTAATTGCAAGTGGTACTTTAGTAGAATACAATTGGTATAAGATCAGAGACAGCCAATACCTCGAAAGTAACTCTCCTGCTGAGTAACTTACCTCGATCTCCTGTAGCTGCTCCTGGTTGGTTGTGTACATCTGCTGAAGAGAGTCCTCTAACTCTGTGTTTCGATCCAGTAATGTCTTCCCAAGCTCAGCAGCAAGCTGGAGATCTAGCACAACAAGCAAATCTTATTAGGGTAGTGCAAATGATCTCAGTTCAACATTTTACATAAGCCAGGGCCTAAAATAAGAATGAACCAAAACCCAACCCAATGTATAAAGTTTAAGTCAGATCCCAATGGAAGATGGAATGGCACAGAAGGAAGCCGGATTCTACTTAAAGTTCAGTGACAGTGGGGCCTTCACCAGGTTCTGTACTCTCGATGTACCCTTACTGACAAGATGTCAAGAATAGTGATGTACTTTATGGAGGTGTATTCATTTGTTTAGGAATGATCATTCAGCACTGTGACATCAAGATCATAATTAGTTGCCAAAGTACAGGCAAACCTAAATTCCCATGAATTTGGCTGCTATGAATGCAACTGTCAAAGCAAGTGTGTTACAGACCCTGGCCTCCTCAGTGTACTAAAAATTAAGTCAAAAAAAGGAAAATGACATCGGTGATAAGAATACTACCGCAGGTCTCTCTCATTTTTTCTATTTCTTTTCATTCCTTCTGCAAGATAAGCAAACCAGCTAAGCAAAGCAGCGAACAGTTTGTGCAGTAACTCAGTCATAGCCCATACTTTCATTTAGGAATAAGAACCATATTTCCATTTTAAACCTCACTTTCCAACACTCTCTCTTCTTAGGCATATGTGCATGTATGACAGCATTACTTTGTTACACACAATCCCAGAAACAAAAATTCACAGACACAAAAAAGGACAATAGTTCTAACATAGGTAGCTGAAACACTTTTCTGCATTATAAGTTGGAGAGGTCCTTTGATAACAGTGGAAAATGCACTGAACTGAGTAGGAAAATCTGACTGCCATTTACCAAGTGAACACTTTACATAGAGTGACTTTAAGCATCCCTACATCTAGTATTCTTGTGTAGAGAGATGACTGTCCTGTCAATATGATTGTGAAAATCAAATGAAATAATACACAAGGAAATACTTGACGAACTGAGCAGCAGTACGCAGGCAAAGTTATTATTAGTGTTCATTGATTCACAAGTGAATGACTTCGTTGCTGACTGCCATAGCGCAACCAAAGTATGAGCTATGGCGGAGTTATCGCACAAACTATACTGCTGCCTGTTGCTGACACCATCCTAAGATCTGGCTAGAATGCTGAATAAACGGATTAAGTTCCTGCTTTCCTGACACTCCCAGATTTACAGGGGAAGTCAGACAGCGGAATAAGTAAATAAACTTGAAAACTGTGATAAACACTATTCATCCATACACATATGCATATATTCAAAAATGCCAGACATCATTCTGGGGATATACAAATGAACTCAGCTAACAAACTCCCTGCCCTCATGGAGCTTATACTCTCATGGGAGAAACAGCATGAAGAAACATACACTAGACAGCAAAAAATGCTTTTTAAAAAAAAGGGGGAAGGAAGAGGGAAGGAAGGGTATGGATGTGGGAGGTTAAAATTTAAGAACAGGCAACAAGGGTGACATTTGACTCCAGATGTGAAGGACTGAGTAAGTGACTCACATAGATGCACTGCGTGCGTCTGTGTGTAGTTTGTGGCTGGGGCAGCAGGAGACAAAAAGGGGTTCCAAGGATGGCCAGCTTGTTAAAGTCAAACGAAGGAGATCAAGATGCTGGTTTTCACTGAGGGAAATGGAACCATGGGAAGGCTTTTGACCAGCTCCACTCCGGCTGTTGGGTAAGCTGGCCGAAAGGGACTAAGGTGGCGGCAGGGTGACAGGGATACTGCAGTCACCTGGGTGAGCGATCGTGGTAGCTTAGACTAGAGTGGCGGAGATGGAGATGAGTAGAGGTGTCAAATACTGGATGTGTTTTGAAAGTAGAGCTAAATGGATTTGTTAATTAACTGGATGTGCTAACTGAGAGAGGAGAAAAAAAAAACCCCAGGTTTTATGATCAGGCACAAAGTATTTTCTATTTTAGAAAGGGAGGTCATGATGGAAGTCTCTCTTAGAAGACGTTTTAGCTAAAGCTTGAGGGAGGAGGATCTTACCATATAAACGCCAGGAAGAGGCCCTAAGACGGGAAAGAAATTGGCACATTGTACGGACCAAAACGGCTCATAGTTTCATGTCTGAAATGCAGTACTTGGGTGCAATCTCAAAAACGACAAAATGATCTCTGTTCATTTCCAAGGCAAGCCATTCAACATCACAGTAATCCAAGTCTATGCCCCAACCACTAATGCCAAAGAAGCTAAAGTTGAATGGTTCTGTGAAGACCTACAAGATCTTCTAGAACGAATACCAAAAAAAGATGCCCTTTTCATCACAGGGGACTGGAACGCAAAAGTAGGAAGTCAAGAGATACCTGGAGTAACAGGCAAGTTTGGTCATGGAGTACAAAATGAAACAGGGGGAACGGCTAACAGAGTTGTGTCAAGAGAACACACTGGTCATAGCAAACACTGTCTTAAAACAACACAAGAGATGACTTTTACTCATGGACATCACTAGATGGTCAATACTGAAATCAGACTAATTATATTCTTTGCAGCCAAAGATGGAGAAGCTCTATGCAGTCAGCAAAAACAACACCAAGAGCTGACAGTGGCTCAGATCATGAACAATTATTGCCAAATTCAGACTTAAACTGAAGTAGGCAAAACCACTAGGCCATGCAGGTACGACTTAAATCACTTAGAGTTATACAATGGAAGTATACAATGCAAAAGTAGGAAATCAAGAGATACCTGGAGTAACAGGCAAATTTGGCCTTGGAGTACAAAACAAAGCAGCTCAAAGGCTAACAGAGTTGTGTCAAGAGAACACACTGGTCACAGCAAACACCCTCTTCCAACAACACAAGAGAAGCCTCCACTCATGGCCATCACCAGATAGTCTATACTGAAATCAGATTGATTATATTCTTTGCAGCCAAAGATGGAGAAGCTCTATACAGTCAGTAAAAACAAGACCAGGAGCTGACTGTGACTCAGGTCATGAACTCCTTATTGCCAAATTCAGACTTAAATTGAAGAAAGTAGGGAAAACCACTAGACCATTCAGGTATTACCTAAATCAAATCCCTTATGATTATATAGTGGAAATGACAAGTAGTTTAAAGGGATTAGATCTGATAGAGTGCCTGAAGAACTATGGACAGAGGTTCGTGACATTGTACAGGAGGCAGTGATCAAGACCATCCCCAAGAAAAAGAAATGCAAAAAGGCAAAGTGGTTGTCTGAGGAGGCCTTACAAATAGCTGGGAAAAGAAGCAAAGCGAAAAGCAAAGGAGAAAAGGAAAGATATTCCCATTTGAATGCAGAGTTCCAAAGAATAGCAAGGAGAGATAAGAAAGCCTTCCTCAGCAATCAATGCAAAGAAATAGAGGAAAACAATGTAATGGGAAAGACTAGAGATCTCTTCAAGAAAATTAGAGATACCAAGGGAA